CCAATGTCTCATTTGACGCCATACCATAATATAGAGAAACACAAATCAAAGGATGCAGTGTAACGGATGGAGGTGCTTTTTCCTTAATCATATGTTTCGGGTTCGAGCCGTTGGTATAAAAAAAATTATCGGTAGAGAGCGTTTTCCCTCAAATGAGGCCCTGCGAATCCGAATTAATCGAACTCCAACACAGATACCAAACACTAAATGCGGACAAAAATAAAAATAGGAAAACACTTGATTAGTTGATTACATCAATTCTCCTATGTTAAATTGACTACAGTAAATTTGATTGGTTAATTCGAAAGAGAGGGAGTATCAGTTGATAAAAGTCTTAGCAAGTACAATTGCCAGTACAATTGTTAGTTTAGACTAATTTACTTTTGTAATCCTAAATTAAGGTACATAAAGTCAATAACAAAAAATAAGTATGGCGTGATCTAGCAATCAATGAAATTGTTAAAAATCTTGAATATCTCCCAAAAGAGACAAAAAGGTTAAGAGCATATTTCGAAAGCCACTAAAAATTGGATTTGAGTGTAATTGAATGTAATTACACAGTTTGACATGCTTGTCTGACCAAGTAATTCGTCATCATAAAATTGGGTGTAATTACGTAAACATAATTACACTCTCCAATTTTCAAAGGGAGGTGAGAATTATTAATAATTATACTGTGTAATTATAAGTTAATATAATTTTTTATTTTAAATATATTAAATGCTACTATTCTTTTTACAATATTTCTCTTTTACTTCTCTTATTATCCTTTTTAACTTTTCAATGTGTTGCTTATATGTATTTTCATATAATTTTGCGACTTTTCACATTTTACTTCTTTTTGTTTTATTTTTCTTAGTTGTTAAACGTAATTTTATATTTTACTAGCTTTATTTTCTATTCATTAGTATAGTTAATTATTAGGATATAATATCTATATGTCTATATTTTTATTATGTAAATAGTGAAATAAATCATAAATTTCATATTATTTTCATATAGGTTGGTAAAAAATTAAATTTAAAAATTGAATTTTCTATTATTATTTTAAATTAAGATATTAGTTATTTAAAAGATAGGTACCGAATATCTTTTACGATATCAATTATCAACTTATATTTATTTAATACTTTTGTTTAAAAGAAAAAAATATAGTTTAAATACCTAACTATAGATAATGTCTAATATTTCTCATATCTATGTATTTTTTATGCATTAATATTTGCTTGCTTTATATTTCACTAGTTTTATTTTCTAGCCTTTGGAATAAATATTTGTTATAGAAAATATTTTGTATGCTCATATGTAACTTTTTAAATATTCTCATGAGTTAGTGAAAAAATTAAATTCATTATTGGAATTTTTATTTATTAATTTAAGGAGCTATATATTTATTTGTGAGATGTCGATTATTTTATGATATTATTTATCAATTTATAATTATTTAACAAATTTTTATAGAATAATATTTATTTNATATATGTCAATTTGTAAAACTTATCCACATATTAATCTGAACCTTTTTATTTAACTATGTAATTATATTTGTTTAATCAAACATGAGAGTGAGAATTATACTGTAATTATATTGTGGCAAACAAATAGATTATTATAATTACTATACTATATAATTACCAGATTGTGTAGTTACCACCCTACTAATTATATCTTCAGATAATTACACATGGCTTTTCAAGCAGACCCTAAATAATATCCTTTCTACTTATTTAGATCTTTTTGGGCAGAGTCATATATCTGTATTTAGGGTTGTTCATGGTTCGGTTTGGATCGATTTTCCCCTAAAAAGAAATCAAACCAAATAAGTCGGTTTTTTTAAATATTAGAACCAAACCAAATCAATTAAGTCGGTTTTTTCTCGATTCGGTTTATGTCGGTTTTTCGGTTTTTTCTGTTATTTATCAATTTTTTCTTATAAGACATACACTACCAAACACACATTTCGGTGATCACATTTTCAACGTAACTCTATCAAATCAATTGCCCTTTGAGAAATCTATTATTTACCAAGATATATTGATGATAACTGAATCAAACAGTGATGAATAATTTAAGGACTCAATTAAAAATACATTATTTTTTAACATGAAATAGATTTATAAACTTAACAAAAGAAAACTACCAATTAAATTAGAATGTAAAGGTAAAGAAATGTACTAAAAGTGCAAACGATTAATATTTACTATAAAATTGTTAAAACTTTGTATAAAAGTATACATACATATAGATATAATAATAAATTTAAAATAGCTACTCCTATATTCGATTTGGTTCGGTTTTTAAATTTCAAAACCAAACTAAACCAAACCAAAAAGTATCGATTTTTTTGGTCGAATTGATTCGGGTTTTCGGATTTTTATGAACACCCCTATCTGTATTGATAAGAGATAGTAACAGGTATGACAAAATTATTGAGGTGCAACCAAATTGATTCACGTATGATTGACACTAGAAAAATGGCTACGGACAATTTGATCGTTTTCCTACAGAAGTCACGAGGATACAAAACAAATTGCTCGTACATCAATACAACAACAACAATAACAATAACAACCCTGTATAATTTCACTAGCGAGATCTGGGGAGGATAATATGTACACAGACCATACCCCTACCCCGAGGGGCAGAGAGACTGTTTCCAGGAGACCCTAGGCTCAAGAAAGCGACAAGAGACGATATATTAGTACTATCAATAGACTCATAATAAAATAACATAAAATAACATAACATAACATAAAATAAAACAGAAATAACAACAATATAAGAAATATAGAAAGTACGAAAAAAATGAAAAATATAATAATATCCAGCAGATAAAGCCCTACATCAGTAACTGACCAGTAACATCTAAGACTAACTCCTAATAACATAAGATATAATTATTGCTCGTACATCAATAATGTCATGTATTTCCAACTTGAGCAATCCTATAACCAGAACGTGGACCCGACCGACCCGAACCCGAACCCAGTGCAGCAGTAGATCTCCATTCTCCAATATCCATCATATTCACGTGCTTCCTTTCCTATACACGCAATTCAGTACCACCATCTCTCTCAATTCATTGTGCCATTGACAAAAAAGGTTCCTTCTTTCTCTGAATCTTTTTTTATTTGTTTAACCCTTTTTTTCTTTCTTTATGGAAATGCGATCTGTGCAGATGGAGTTGACTTTGCTGTTTCATGTTTTACATTTTGAAAGATTGCAAATTTCGTTGCAGATTCTCTCATCCATTAGAAGAACAAAACAATGTTAAAACTACTTGTTAAACCCAAAAAAGAAGAAGATTAAGACTAGTTTGTAACAGATTTATACTGATTGACTGCTCAGTTGCTATTGCCCATTGTTAGTAGTTACTTATCTGTTTTTACTTCATATTCGTTTTTCGACTTTAGTGAATTGCTAAGATAATTTAGTGGCTATTGCTGTTTTTGTTTATTTATGAATAAAATGGTGAGATTTTTTACAGCTAATATCTTTGTTGGTTTGTGTTCATCAAATCTGCAACAGTGCTGTTAAAGGCTCTCTTAAAGCGTGCTTAAGCCTGAAGCTCAGGTTGTGTGCTTTGACTCTCTTAATTGTTGCTTTGGTGTAGGCGTCAAGGGTTTCTGTCTTGAAGGGAACATCATCATGTATATAGCCGAGTTATAGTAGTTCCACTCTATTTTTTTGTTTTTCATCATTGGCACTATTTTTCGGCGAAGCCCACACATTAATTGCGCTATGCGCTTAAAGCACCAACAGCCTTTGGTGCTTTTCGTTTTTGGCTACTTGGATTCGCAAGGATCACTTATTATGTTTTTTTTGATCACTCTATCTTGAACAACTTTTTTTTAGTGAAGCATCATATAATTTTTCTTTTAGAGGGTGTTCACATTGCTTTACATATCGTTAAGATTCTTGACATGCGACTTTGGCTATAGAATGGGTTGGCTTGACTTTTTTGTTGTTGTTGCGATGAGTAAATGGCTTATCTTTCAGCTTAATTTTTCCTCTATTATTTGTTTTTAGTTTAGTAATTCTTCCAAATGTTGAGTACTGGTGGTGTTTGTTTGTGGAATTCGAACTTCACATGTCAATAATTTTTAAAGTTGGTGTTTGTTTGACTTTTTCTTAGCAAAAGTTGCAAAACAACTGTTCGAACTTTAAGTCTTTGAAATTGTGGTTTGGAAGTTGTTCCGAGTGAAGCTTTTGCAAATTCTCAACTTCCATTCACCCAAAAAGAAAAGAAAACCTTCCATTCACAGGTCTTCAACTCCCACTATCATTTTTTTTTTAAAAACTACGAGCCCGCTTAGCCATCGATATTTCAGTAACTATAAATATTGAACTTCAATATTTGCCAACAATTGGAACACAATTTCAGCTTCAGCAAACTTTTCCCAGCTTCTACTGTAATGGTTGTCCAAACAGAGATCACAATCTTTTATATGTTGCAGCTTTTACTCTTATTTCTTGCATTAACAGCTTATTTTCCCGATTTTTTTTTAGTTATTTTTTGGTCGGTATGATTAAAATCAGTAATCAAAAATGTTTTACAAAAATGGCAGATAGATGTATCAAGTAGATATTGATCATGGGCAAGAGAAGCAATCGCGTCCCCCTGCTGCAGATGGGGGCGAGGAATCAATCCATGCTGTTGGACAAGAGGGGATGGGTCAACAAATCCATCTTGAGAGGAGAAAAGGGAAATTGACTTCCAAGGTGAGAAATGTTCTCTTCATACTTTCACCAGGCTTACATCTTAATGCCTTTTGATAGTGCATGTGTACAAGTATGTGCCTCAGCGCCTGCACTCTCTTCTGAAATTCAGATAAACTGTTATAAGATTACACACCACTGAGCTGCTGTTGAAGGAAGTTAATAATACTCTAAGCTGCAGCTAAATTTCTTCTGGACTAATTTGTTATTTATTGGCGTATAAAATGGAACTAGCTGAAAGAAAACTGTTTTCTTCAATATGTGGTTCCATTATTCATGTAAAAGTTAAAGTTGTGTGAGATGGATGCATCTAATGGACTTGGACTAAAAGAAGCTTGTGTGCCTCAAATACAATTTATAGCATGCTTGCTTTCATGGACATTAAGTGTCACTCTGACTACTTCCTTGTAATAAATAAATTATTAGATTAATGTTTGTAGTTTGCAGTTAGGTTCTCTACTAGGCTAATGACAGTGACGTGGATTTTCAAGCGGACGGAAACTAAAACAAATAGCACCTAAAGAAGAGTCAAAACATGCTAAGTTGCAATCTTTATTGGGTGGAACAAAATGTTTAATGTTTGACTTTCCCTTCTGAATTTCCTTCATATTTTCAGCTTGTATTTTCGCTTGAACCCCTTGAACCTAAAGTGCTTTAGTATGATGGGAACTTGCAGTCCTGACACATCTCTGTTTCTATAGTTAGCTAAGGATGAAGAAAGGAGGAAGTATTCTCTGCTACCACTGCATAAAATCTTTTAAATTAAACAAAATTAAGGGTTGAAACACCTTTTACTGAAAGATTCGCGGGTTACTTAGTGCTATGAAATTTTTTCCACTTGGTCTTTGCTGCCTTTAACTTTTGCACTTCCTTCTCAACAAATTTGCCCTCGAGTAGTACATTTTCTACCAATTTAACATGTGATCAACTGAAGACCCCTTGATCTTTATAGGAAAAATTGTCTTCACACAATAGCGCCTTTATCAAACAAAATGACTACCACTAGATCAACTTGCAGTTTCTCCAGAGAGATTTTAGCTTTTCTTTCTCCTTCTATTTAATGTTGGTAACTTTTATGAAAGATAATTCAATAGTTGCATCTCTTGTACTTGAAGAAAAGAGGAGAGGAGGTAGGTTGGGATAAATTAGATCTTTCTATTATCCTAAATAGCTGGGGTATTATCTCATGTCTCTTTTTTTTTTTTTGGGGTATATCTTGACATTTATATATTGGTCTCATATGTCTAAAACAAATGTTCCTAAATCCTAAGTTGCGCGGACTCTTCGATTTTGGTGCCATCCCCGTCCCGATACGAGACGGGGACGGGAGCGAGATACGTCCCGGATTCGGTCAACTATCTTCGGGCACTTTGACCGGAGTCCATCGACAAATTTGGGAGAAAAATTGAGATTTTGATTTCTCAAAATCAAAAATAAAATAGGTTTAGGAGAATGAAAGAATAATGTCCTTCTTGGAGAATGAAAGCTTGAATTCTACAATATTCATGTAAGTTTTTCGCTGAATATCTCTCAAAATTTACAATATTTTTGTAGCTCTATTTTTTATTAGCTGAATCCCCATACCCGTATCCATATCCGGATCCACACCCCTGAATCTTAAAATTTGGATTTTTCCGAATCCGATACTCGGATTCGTCCCCGTATGTGGATACCCGCACCTGACAACTGAAATGTGGACAATATAACATGGGGGTCGAAAATGGGATGAACATGGCTCTTATACCATGATAAAAATGGACCTTGGGCCTAACTCAACTCCAAAAGTTAACTCATAATGGAAGATTACCCAAGTCCATATAAGGAGACCACCAGCCCAATCCCCAACCAATGTGGAACTCAATCTAACAGTTCGAAACTTAATGATTTTAGGCATTTAAACCTTGCCTACTGGAGCTCCTCTGACTTGCATATTTGAACTCCTCTCTCTCTCTCTCTCTCTCCCAGTTGCCATACATTTATACCACAGCAAAAATCCAGATTCCATTTTGGTTTTCCACAGTCCATGTGCCATCTTCTGTCATCAACTCATCATGTATCTCTATCCCAAAAAGGAACTGCTATCCTCATTACTATCCATACTGAAAAAAAGCTTCGAAAATATGACAAACCTTAATCAAACAACATGAGTTAGCAAGCTCAACTTGACCATTGTCTTCACAAACACAATCAGGTGGCGATGATCTTTAATTGACTTTGTCACTAAAATGCAGCTTCAGCACTGCAACCATTATTTAATATTTTTGCTTTTAGGTTTCCTTAAATAATAATTTAAACAACCTCTATTGAGAAAACATGGAACTGACACACCTAGTGGAAAATGAAGGCGAGAAAGGAAACCTTAAAATTGTGAAATCTTTTAGAAAATAAGAAGTGGAAAACCTTTGCCTGAACTGAACACTGCCTTGTATTCTTCTCCAGAATTTTTCAGGTCATGAGATTTCTATTAGATCTAGTAAAATACTATGCGCTTGAAGACGTTTCTAGTGTTTGCATCTGTAACAGTCTGCCTCTAGATCTCCATGGCACATGCATAAGCCAAACTTAGATTTATTTGGGGGGGAAGTGGGTCTGCTGGGAGGGAGCCTCATTGCATCTGTGCTTTTCTCTAGCTGCTGATTGTGTATGAGACCACTCACGCCTTGGATCTTTTGGCCTTGCAGTTTACTCTGGTGAATATTTCCACTAATCTACTATTGGCATACCAAAGTCTGGGGGTGGTATATGGAGATGTGAGCACTTCTCCGCTTTATGTCTATAGGAGTATCTTTGTGGGGAAGTTGCAAAATCATCAGAATTCAGAAGCGATATTTGGTGCATTTTCACTGATCTTCTGGACAATAACGCTCATTCCTTTGCTCAAATATGTGTTCATTGTATTAAGTGCAGATGATAATGGTGAAGGTATGTACAGAAGAGACTCTAAATTGATCAGTACTTGTGGAACAATACTAATACCTGATGATGTTTGACCAAATACCTTAGGGGGTACATTCGCTCTTTACTCTTTGCTGTGTAGACATGCAAAGTTTAGTCTACTTCCCAACCAACAGGCAGCAGATGAGGAGCTATCTGCTTACAAATATGGATTCTCCGGGCAGTCGGCATCTTGTTTACCATTGAAGAGATTTCTTGAGAAGCATAAGAAGTCACGCACAATACTGCTTATTGTTGTATTGTTAGGTGCTTGTATGGTCATAGGAGATGGTGTTCTGACTCCTGCAATGTCAGGTAGACAATACTAACAATAGATGCCTCCTTATATGGTATTTTGCCGGTTGCCTTTTGAATTTGCAAAAAAGAAGTTTTAAAGTTGCTTCCACCGAATGTTAGATAGCGATTTCAACTTTTATAATATAATAAGTGGCACCATATAATGCATGTGGTGCCATCAGATATTCTATAAAAAGTATCCCAAAAAGTGGATGCCTGAAGTCGTAGAACTCGCAGTTGAATTTGAGTATATCTTTTAACTAAGAAATTCTTTACTTTGGCAGTTATATCATCAATATCAGGGATCCAGGCTGCTACTGAACATCTATCTCATGGTACGTATACTTTTGATATACCTCCTTGCAAAAGTTGACGAATTTTTAGGTAGTCAACATCTTACTTCGGTCTGAGGCATTGACCATTCATGCATCTTTCTTCGTAGGTGGTGTGCTACTTCTTTCTTGCATAATATTGGTTGGCCTGTTTGCTCTACAGCATTCTGGAACCCACAGGGTTGGATTCTTGTTTGCACCTATAGTGACTATTTGGTTGATATCTATTTTTGTCATTGGGCTGTATAATACTATTTTTTGGAATCCCAAAATTGTGTCTGCCCTTTCTCCATATTATATCATCAAGTTCTTTAAGGAAACTGGGAAAGATGGTTGGATTTCTCTAGGAGGTGTGCTCCTCTCAATTGCAGGTACAGTACATGTATTGACTCTAATACAGTATTTCTTTATTCAAGTATATGCCTCGTAGCAGCCTTTTCGAGGAACCTCTTACTATTTGTTGAAGGAGATGCTATTAAAATTTCCTAGAGTTGGAATCCGATTTCTAATTCATATATCTACCATCAGGTACTGAAGCTATGTTTGCAGATCTTGGTCATTTCACTGCCTCCTCAATGAGGGTAAGTCGAGCATTTTGCAGCAACAAACACATAAAACTATCCTTCAGGAGACTGTTCTGTTCTAATTCTCTATTTAGGTTAGCAAATACTCTTTTTCTGGAAGATCCTGAATGCAGATTAAACTAGTTGGATTATGCGGCAATGGTAGGAACATGTTTTAGGTGCATATATACAGCTGGTTATAAGTCATCGCGGCATTGGGAAAATGAGCTCCATTTTGTGTTAAATAAATAGGGTTTGCAACTATCGAGACTCTGATTTAGTATTTCATTTTCTTTTGAGCATAGAGGAACTTAGATAACATCATTAACGTAAGTTTGAAATCCATCTGAAGTAGCTTCGAGGAACTGTGTCTAAGATTTGGAATTCATATTAATTACTAAAAGTAAAACATTTGGAATCCATAATGAGCGGAAACATATAGAATAGCATGGACAACTGGAGCCAAATGGTTCTTATTCAACGGAACGAGTAAACTGTCCTAGTGGTTAGCAGATCATATTGCATAATATGATTACTTGGATTCGAGGAACTTGCACCAAGTTGACTGATTTTTTTTCTTATGCAGATTGCATTTCCATTTTTTGTATACCCTTGCTTGGTGGTACAGTACATGGGTCAAGCTGCTTTCCTGTCCAAAAACATTGCTTCAATTCCAAATAGCTTCTATAATTCAATACCTGGTCGGTTCCTTTTCAGATATTAGTCTGATTATTCTCAAGATTTTTGATTAATTAAGTTCAATCCTACTAAACTGCTGCTCTTTGATTCTCTTGCAGACATTGTATATTGGCCTGTCTTTGTTATCGCTACCCTTGCAGCCATTGTTGGCAGTCAGGCTGTAATCACTGCTACATTCTCCATCGTGAAGCAATGTAATGCACTGGGTTGCTTCCCACGGGTCAAGATTGTCCACACTTCAAAGCATATTAAAGGGCAGATCTATGTCCCAGAAATAAATTGGATCCTAATGATTCTGACCCTTGCTGTGGCTGTTGGGTTTCAGGACACCACTTTAATTGGAAATGCATATGGTAAGCCTACTAGTCTTTTGACAATCTCTATTCTAATTCTTCAAATTCCACTGTATGATACTGCCTTCCTACATTTCATTCTCATAGAAAGTAGACTAATCCCCATTATATGATCTTCGCAACTATCCCAATTATATCACCCTCCGAAATAATTGAATTTTTCTTATGCATCTGTCAGATCTGTGGTAGTATTATATTTATTGGTATGCAGGTGAAGAAATAGAATGTTGACATATCCAACATTAAGCCGTCCAATGTGCCTGAGCTAAAATGTTCACAAGTAATTGTGTTTGCCAAATATTTCTGTTATACCTGATTACTCTTCATGATTGTGTATTTGTTTCCTCAAACATGCTTCTAAGCCTCTCCTTGTGCCTTTTGCAGTGTCTTTGGTCTTCTTTTTGAAAAACCCTGATGAAAATAAACACATATGAAATCGAAATGATGAATGATGTGAACATGAAGGAATCTCAGATTTCATGACATATT